AAACAATGATAAAAATGGCTGGTGTATATTGAGTGCCTGCTGAATGCCAGGGACTGTTCTAAGTCCATTACATGTATACATGTATTTATACCTATGTTAATTACAATCTTTAATCCCCTATGGGATTAAACCTCAGTAGTCACTATTTTCTCCAGCAGATGAAGAAACTGAGGCACAGAAAGGTTAATTAACTGTTTTTAAGATCACACAATTAGTAAGAGATTGAACTAGGAAGTGAAAAAAAAATAATTGACACTTAAGAATTTTCTACTAGGCTACACATAGAAGTGGCTACTGAATCTAATGAGTAAATTCTATTAAAGAAAAAAAATCATGTATTTTGGGAGTATAATGATAATTTGTTATTACTGGGTTTATTGTTACTTCTGTTTACCTAAGAAAATACCTTTAAATTTATCTGACATTGGCAACCTTCATTTACCTCCTTTGTTTTTTCTTTCCTTTTAATCTCAGAATTAAAAATTCAATTTAGCCCAGTTAGTCTATCTCAGATTTAATTTCCTTCACCCAAAGCAGTTTTCCTGGGAAAGTACATTTTGCCTTTTTTATTATTTTTCCTTCAAGCAAAGAGCCGCTATTCTTATTATTTTTGATGTTTAATAGAGAACAAAGAACTTTCAAAAAGATTGGAAGTTTGTTTTGGATGCACATGGAAATAGGATGTAATCTAAACTTAGAGAAATTATTTTATGTTTCAGAGGCCATAAATAATCCTGCCCTCCCTAAATTTATTAGTTTTCCCTAGGATATTGTACTTCATTCCGTAACATTTCTTTTCTGTAAATAACAGCTTCTATTCAAATTTTAAATCTATTTTACTATTAACATTTAGGAAAAAATAAATTCTGTAGGAGTACAAACAGGAAAATGTATTGCCCTCAGTAACATGTTTTTTAAAAATTAAAAATTGTGAATACACCAAGGTTAAAAAACACTTATTTTGATCCATAATTGATATTTAAAACAATTTTTCCAGTCACTTTTAACTACCAACTGCCCAATGTATTACTAGTGTCTTCTAGTAGAGAATGTCTATTAAGTTTATGAAACATAAAGATAGTGAAGAACATCCTCCCATGTGACCACATTCAAATTGAACCACTCTCCATATGCTGAAGAGACATTTGTATGACTTACCATTCCAAAACTTAGGTGTTGCCATGTGTGCTGAGATATCCAAGCAAATACTTGTGCTGGGTTTAAGATTGCAGCCATTTTAGGAAAAGTAAACTTTCTCAAAGAATAAGGTGAAGGAATTAAAATTTACAAAATTACTCAATTCCACAAGTATCCTGTCCAGAGATTTTTCCCTTGCAGCTTTGAAAGTTTAGGGCAGCAAAATCATTTTCTTCAGGTAAAAATACCTCAAAGATCAGTGCCTCTATATTACTTTCTTATTCCTCATTTGCTTGTATCACATTCCATATTTATCCTCTTCCATGAGATCCTGATGAATAGATAGTTGTATGTCTTAAAAATATTCATCTCCAAATCAAGATTACTGCTCCCTTGCTTTTAAACCATTAAGATTAAATGGAATAAAAAGAGATAGGACAAAAGTACTTACATTCTGTTTGAGATGATTGTCACCTTACAAAGATCATAAACCCTCCCCTTCTACAGGTGTGGGTTTTTTTTTTTTTCCTCCCTCTCTCCACTAATTAGGGAAATAGCCTTAAGTATAAATTTACCATTTATACAGAAGGAGCTGCTGCACTGACACAGCTAAGAGGTCTCAGTTTCAGACTGAACTCTCAATAGCAGGTAAGCTTCCCCCCCCCTACTACAATAGTAAAATCATTAGGTTATAATTATAGCAAAGAACGGGAGAAATAGAGATGAAGTCCACCTTATGCAGAAAGAATATGTACATTTTGTTTTGTTGGTTTGTATTTTCTTTTTAAATTTCTTGATATGAGGACAATGAGTGTTATGAAATATGAAACTGCGTTGTGATTTGGGCACAACTAGAGTAATAGAGAGTAATCTCTCAGAACCAAAAGCCTTCATAATATAAAAAATAATTATGAACATTGAATTGTGAGTGATTAAAAAGAAAAGTTTTTCCTAAAAGCCCCACCATTGTATTGTAAATGCTGTATCATACCATAAAAACAGATCTAATGTTTATGATTAATATTAATCAAAAGCATTTCAGGTACTTGCTCTAATGAACACTTCAAATGCTCCAAAGAATCTTCAGTTCCTAAAACTGATATGCATATGACCATTTTTCTTGACGAAGACTTTTAATTCATGAGTCTGTTTTTGGTAACCATTAGGTTAAAGGAGTTATAAACATTTACCTTTCAATTCTAGAACACGTACTGATTATGGGGAACCTGTGTTGAGCGGGAGGGTATAACATGGTGATCTTGTCGGTTTCAGAGTTCGTAATTGTCATTTTAATATAATTCAAAAATATGTAAAAATGTTTTCTCCATCTGTGAAGATTTCTGCATTCTGTTTGTGTCATTAAAAAAAAAAGATCTTTGTATTTAGTGACATAATCCCACAAAATGTCTCACTGTTTACTGAAGGCGTATTTTCAAATGTTGTGTTAACTGTAGTGTCTTCTATGTGAACCCATGGGAGAAATGTCTCTCATTTTAATTTGTCACCCTGAGTAATTTGTTTGTGAGTTGCAAGAGCTTAGTCTAGAGGGGTAGATTAATGCCTGATCAAGGAGGATTTTGATTATTAAAAATTTGGAGAACTGGACTTTAGAGATGGCATAAGTGAAAAAACAAGCAAATGCTGAGAAATAGAGCTTATGATATTTTTATGAGCATCTGAATCATATAATTAATCATGATCATTTCTCTGTGTGATATCTAATAAAACAGCTCAGAATCAAATGTGGGCTCTCACTTCCTGCAAATACAGTTGATTCCTGATTGTGTATGAAAGTCCTTTTGTTTCATGATAGTCATGTCGAACACAGACCTAGCCAATATTGAAACAACAACCTAATAATAAGTTATGTTCCTCTAAGCCTCTGGTTTCATTAAGTAGGTAATACAAAACCTTATTTTACATGTACTTTTGTTTAAAGATACATCATTTCATATTTACTGTTGATTCATTATTGTTGATTATCATTGAACTCATGGTTGAGAACATTATAATTGATGTGTTAGTGAAACTTGTCTGTTACATGTGTTTTGTCTTAAGGCCCATTACAGCCATTTTGAACTTAGAAATGTCAAATTAGCACTTATACACTATTTTAAACAGCAAAATCAACAGAAAGCATTAATTTTTTTTTTAATGGTACTAGAGGGACCATGAAAAGAACACTTGTTTACAGTAATTGATAGCAGAAACAAAAAAGCAGAGTATGCCCTGAATAACCTTAGTGGGAAGTGTATTGGAAGAAAAAATTTTACTGCTCTATGAATGTCTTAAAATTACTGTAAAAGCACTACAAGTATTAATTTGTGGGTTAGAAATAAATTTTAGTGAGTAGAAACATTCTCAATGGAATCTATGAATAAGGAAGATCAGTTGTATATATAGGACTATATTCCATGTTTTATGAACTAACCTCACTCTTGAATCTATATTCTTTTTGTAACTATATTTTCTCTTTGAGCTTTCAACATCAACAAATACTTGTTTTTCCTACTCTTTGCATTAACTACTTTGCTAAGTATTAGGGCATAAAAAGATCTCTAGGCATAAAAGTAAATTAAGAAATTTATGAGCAACTGACCTTTGAAATAATTTCATTTTCTATCAAAAGATTTTGAATTAGAATAAATGTGTTTAGTGCAAATATCCACCAAAAAAAAATTATTTAGAGATGACACAAGTGAGAGAAAAGTTGAATTGATGCCAGGGTAAAGAGAGGAGGGGTACATTTCTCATTTTCTTTGCTTGTCTTAAAAAATCTAGAAACTTGATCTTTTCAAAGACTCTAATACTGGCCCAGACTGTAAATACTTGGGTTCAAAAGCCTCCTGATTTTCTGGTGCTTCGCTGGCCCTTTGTACATCTTTGATTCCTGTAGAAAACAAGATGCCTTAAGTGCACCACTAAGTGAACTCTAGAGCAACAGGGCTATTTGAGTGCTGCCTAGAAGTTCATATCCATATAAACCTCATGGAAGAGTTTTACAGGGGATTTTAGGTAACTCATAGCCAAACATTCTGGGTGTCCTATAGTTGCAGAGGCATGCCTCATAAGGAAATCAGATCAATTTATCCAGCAAATGTGTCATGAAGGAACAATTCTAGCTCTCCCCCAAATCTCAGAAGCATTAGGTTCTGATGTCTACCTGAATTATCTTTGTCATCCTAGTGCCTGACTGCCAGGAGTGTAAGTGGATAAACTCTTACATTGACTGTAGGGAGAAAAGTTGTTTTGTTTTTAAAGAAAGTCAAGCTCTCATAATGTTGGGGGAAAGGTTTCTTGGGAACAAATCAGGGGAGGTAGAGCTCCCAAATCTGGAAAGTGTAATTGCATTAGAAAAGATGAAGTTATATGTATTACATTTAGGTCCTTTTCTTTCCAGAATTTTATCTGATTAAATGAGCCACAGCTTCTGCCCACATCTGATTCTTTCCAACTTGTTCTTTAAAACCACTCAAGTCTTTCTCTAGCCTTTACCCCACACTGTTAAGAAGTTTCTCTACTTAACCCCAGAAATCTTACCCTGAGTTTCATATTATCCACTCAGTAACTATTTTTAGAAGGTCCCTGCTCTGCAAGGCCTTGTGGCACGAGCTCTAGATACAGTGGAACACAAACAGAGACCCTGAATTCATGAAATTGACAGGCTACTTTAGGCAGACCTATGTCAAAGAAAACACAATTAAACATAAAATTACGATTGTAATTCAGTGCCCTAAAGGAAGAGTTCAGAGTACATTGAATGTATATAATAAAGAGATTTAGCCCAGTTTACAGTTAGCCTCATCTTTCTAGGATTAGGTCAGAAGCAGTCTCCATTTTCATGTGTTCTCTAGTTTACTCATCCCAGCGCTTGCCCACCTTCTTCCTTCTTCCCTCTTTAGTGTCAGAAATACACCCAAGGAAAACGGCTACCAGCATATTCCTAAGTAGGTTCAAAAATTAAATTGTGACTTCAAGTTTCAAATTAGGTGTGGAATTGCAAAGTTCTGGAGAAGATGTTGGTGCTAAACTGTTCTACCAAATTACTGATGCTAGAGAAAATATTGAAGAATCACTTTCCTGAATCACTCAAGGTATTATAAACTTTATTTTACTAATTTATTATTGTATTAGTTGTTTTCTTTTAATTGCATGAGTCTGTAAAATAATGTAAGCCTCATGGCTGTCCCCCCACTGTGGGTAGTCACAATGAATGACCACAGCTTCCAGTCCTGATGCCTTAGATTCTGACCATCCACTACATTAGCTGTAGCTTGTGCGGGGTCTAGCTCGCATAGTAAGGGGTCTTCTTTGTGGGTATGTGCCCCAGGATTGAGTTACACTCACCTGTCCCTTGTAGTCCTGTCACTTATGCCCTTTTTTGGACAGAACTTTATAAGAACAAGAGTCCCCCCAATAAAAGCTCACTTCCGACCGTGTCCCCTCTTATGTCAGCCTCTCGTGACTTTAATCTTGCTCTCCTTTTTGGGGAGCCTGAGGCCAAGAGCTAGGAAACCAACCTGAAGCTTGTATAAAGGTAAATTGTGTTTTATTTGGTGTCCCTGCAAATTCACACAAATGATCTTAAGTTCAGCTGCCCATGCTGGTCAGGGGTGGCTCCCCACCACACACACACCATTTTTCCTCCTGATGTTAAGATCTCTGGGCATGCTTTATAAACATAGTTTTCCAGCTGTCTCCTGCCAAATAGTGATACAATGGATTGTGGATAAGGCCCAGCAGATTTTTGACAATCACTCTAGAGGACTTCTAGGGATATTTAATAATTCTGGGATACATTGTTTCTAAAGTAAATTTGAGTTTTAAAATGTTTTAAATGGTGGCTCGGGAGACTGAGACAGAGGATCGTGAGTTTAAAGCCAGCCTCAGCAATGGTAAGGTGCTAAGCAACTCAGTGAGACCTTTCTCTAAATAAAAATACAAAATAGGGCTGGGGATATTGTTCAGTAGTTGAGTGTCCTGGAGTTCAATCCCTGTTACCCCCCCAAAAAAAATTAACTTAATAAAATGTTTTAAAAGGCAAAAGGTGTAGCATGGCACTGAAATAAAGAACATAAACCTAGTAAACAATAGAACTGAAATTTAGGCATTGATAATTTTTTTCAGCAATTCTGTTGGCCATCAAACCTGTGGTCTAAAATCCAGGAGGGCCAACAGATAACTCAGTGCCACTTTGGAAGATGTCATTAATCAAAAGATTATGATAAGTGGCTAGGCACAGTGGCACACACCTGTAACCCTGAAACTGGAAAGGTAAGGCAGGAGAATTTCAAATTTGTGGCCAGACTCAATATCTTAAACTCTGTCTAATACAAGAACTGGGGATGGCACTCAGTGGTAAAGTATCCCTGGGTTCAATCTCCAGTACTTAAAAAAAAATTTACAATAAGTGTAACTAGAACTGCTATAAGCATTTACAATGAAATTGCCTTTGAATGGCTGAGTTTCTTGAGCAAAAAGACAGTTGTACAACCTGTTCTCAAATGGGAATGAAATGAAAATCACTCAGGAAACAAATAATAAATCTGAATTTTTGAAGATGGAGACCAGAGTCCTGAAATTTTAATACCCTGGATAATTCTTATGTTCATTAAAATCTAAAACAAAGGGGTCTAACTGGAGTCTCCTGGTGCATGGTACTGTGTTGATTAAATCTGGTCATCTTGCCTTATTGATAGTTCTTAAAATGCATGTGGTAGGAAATATCCAATAATAATTTGAGATTACATGGCTGCCAAATCAGAAAAAGTACTATAAAAAGCATTCAGCACCACTCATCCTTTGAATATGCAGCTACTGGAAGAATGTTTTTTTACCAATGCCTAATCTTTCAATTGATTCCAAATCTTACACAAAGAAGTTTTGTTTTTTAAATTTTACTTTTAGAATCTGAATATTAAAAGATTTTCCTCTTTCAATGAGATCTATATTTTCTTATTTTTAATACTGACACTGAAGTTAATTTATGCAATAAGCTAGTAGGCTTTTTTGCTCTAATAATATATCTGGCTAGTTCTTCTTCCAGAGATAATTAAAAAGGCCTCAGTGACCTTCATGGAGTCCTAAAAGATGTTTGAGAATTAAAAAGTTGAAGTAAATGTAGTTTTATTTGTTCACCCTTCCTCAATTCTATGGAGATTATGGCTATGTGTATTATGACCTCAGCTTAGTGTTTGATTAAATTTCCTTCTAAGCTCTAACTGCTGATTGCCCAACAACTTTACTTCCTCCTAGGCAACCCCCACACTCAACACTCACCCTTTAAATCACCAGCTATTAGAAGAGCCTGTTTGTTTTTTACCAATGCCAAATATTTCAGTTATTTCCAAATCATATACAAACACGTTTTTTTTTTCTTTCAGAATTTGAATACTAAAAGAGTTTTTCCCTTTTAGCCTTTTGAACATTCCAATCATAATTAGGTTACATTCTTCAATAAGGATGTATAGTCTCCTTACATGACAACATTTTAGTAAACATCATTGTGTACATGTAAGACAGGTATTTGCAGAATTTAATGATTAACTGAATAAGAATTACCTTCCAGGTTATTTTGGTTCTTTGGTTTGCACTCCGTATGATCCAAGTTACACATTCATATAAACCACACTCAATACAGAAAGACACACTCTGTGAGCATATTCAAGGGAGATTCCAGATTAGGTAAAAGAGAAGAAAGTTGTATATTGTTCTAGACTGAGAAAAGTTGAGTGAAGTAGGTGTGTGGTTTGGGTTCAGGTCATGATAATGGAAGTAAAATGTAGGTTCCAAACCCCTTACAATTTAAATATTTTTCACTAATTTAAATATGTTTCATTGAAGTCCAATACATTCTACAAATTGCACACAATGTAATTATGCAACTCAGTGAATATTCATGAAGCAAATACCTATGTAACATCCACTCTGGTAGAGAAAGAACATTTACTTCAGAGGCTGCTTCTCAACCCCCACTGCTCCTTTTTTGACCACCACCTCTCCCTGCTCCCTAAAATTGGACACCTTCCAAAGCCATGATTTAGTTTTTACTGTTTGGGGATGTAAATAAATTAAATCACACAAAAAGTGTTTTTTGTTTATTTTTTTAAAATACCCAGCTTCTTTTGCATAACTTTTTTGTGTGAGATTCGTAGTGATTCCATGTAGCTGTGGTCTATTCACTTTTATTACTGTTTTGTAATCTATAGGATAAATATGTCAAAATTTATTTCTTCATTTCATCATTGATGGATATTTAGATTCTTATTTTTATTTTTTAATGAAAGTGCTAGGAACCTCATCCCATAACTCAGCAGTCCTTGATACCTATCACTATATCTTTTTTCCACCTTTATAAACACACATATATATGTTTCTTGGGAGATATTTTTTCTTAGCGGAGAAAAAAAAAGATGTGAAAGGCACATTCTAATATTGCTCCAGTACTGTTCAGTCACTAAACATTCCATCAGCAACTTCAGGTTCCATCAATAAAATACTGAATGAGACCCAGATATGACCCTCAAGGAATGTTTACAAAGCCTTGCTCCATCAAATCTGAAATAAATGCAAATTTTTATTTTTAATTTGGGTTTGTTTTGCCTTCAAGTGTCTGTTATTCAGGCTTGAATGAGTAGTTAGTTGCATTTTACAAGTTATTTTTGGATAGAATAGTATGTTCAAAATCAGCTAAACATTAAGAATATCTGTGGGACTTTTAAAATATGTATAGGCCATAAGATTCTGGTTTATTCAGCAATCTGTGGCAAGTCTCACCTAGTAAGTCTATCAACTTAAGACTCTTTTACTGTTGCACTGTAAAAGCTAGGTTTAGGGAGAGTTTTCGTAGGCTTTAGTAGACTTTTTACCAGTTTTCATGTGCCCTGATAACAGTAAAGAAGTTTATATATGTATATAATGTATTTGTCTGTGAATATATTTTTAATTTCCCCTCTAATGGCCATGATTATATACTGGAACAAAAGAGTGTAATATGCAATTGAAACAGATGGTATTGTGATTGGTTTGTCCTTCTTGGTTCTCTGGCTCAGGTTTATGGAGCAGTGATGAACATAAATCGTGGGAATCCCTTTCAAAAGGAAGTGGTACTAGATTCATGGCCAGACTTCAAAGCTGTTATCACCCGAAGGCAGAGAGAGGTAAATTTTTGAAAGGCAAATAAATGAAAACAAGAATTGGTATCAATTGGAAAAAAATAGATTAGGTAAAGGGACTAGCATGACCTTAGAAGTCATATATATTATCTTGATATACTACATAGTTCACTGTTAGTTTTTTGGGGGGGTGCAGGGGGTACTGGGGATTAAACTCAGGAGCATTTGTCCACTGAGCCACATCCTCAGCCCTATTTTGTATTTTATTTAGAGACAGGTTCTCCCTGAGTTACTTAGTGCCTCGCCATTGCTGAGGTTGGCTTGAAACTTGAGATCCTTCCGCCTCAAACTCAGAGGTGGGCCAGGGATGTGGCTCAAGTGATAGCGCACTTGCCTGGCATGCGCGCGGCCCGGGTTCAGTCCTCAGCACCACATACAAACAAAGATGTTGTGTCCACAGATACCTAAAAAAATAAATATTAAAAAAAAAAACTCACAAGGTGCTGGGATTATAGGTGTTCACTACTGTGTGAGGTTCACCATTCCTTTTTTTTAAAAATTTCTAGTTGTAGATGGACACAACAATACCTTATTTTATTTATTTATTTATTTATGCATTTATTATGCAGTGCTGAGAATTGAACCCAGTGCCTCACATGTGCTAGCCAAGTGCTCTAACAGTGAACCACAACCCCAGCCCATTTTTTTTTTCACCATAACTTTTTAATGTGGCTGGTTTCAGAGTGTCAGGCCTATGGAAGACCTCTAGTCCAAAAGTGTTTCCTTAGTGCTTCTTCATCTCTAGAAGCATGAAACACACATGGCCACATACATACCAGCTTCTTCTGTATGGATGATTCCTTATGACCAATGATTTTGGTCATGGGGATAAATATGGAAGAAGACTAAACACTTGGCCCCATTCTGCCTCTGAGACCCAGTGAAGCTAAAGTGATTAAATCCATGTTGTCCTCCAAATTAGGAAGATTCATGAAGCTTTGATTCTTAGAGATGTATTCACTGAGTTTTGCCCTTTATATATATAATATATAGCTATATATTATATATTTTATATAAAAAATATATTAAATATATGTATATACTATGTATTATGTATATAATATTATGTATTGTATATTATGCAATAATATATTATGTAATAATATATATTATATATTAATATATATTATGTAATAATATATACGATATATAATATTTTATATAAAATATATTAAATATATATTACATATACATTATATATTTTTTTCTCAGAAAAACCTTGGAATATCTTAGATGTAATTCACTTTTGTAATTTGGGATGCCAGATAGCATCTATAACCTTAATAGCATTAATTTGAGACTTCTTACTTTTTCTGAGGTTGAACTCCCTGAGCAAGAAGTCAAGACTCAGATAACACACACACACACACACACACACACACACCACAAAGTTGTGATACTTTTCCTATGTTGTGCAACCTAAACTCAAACTCAAGGCCTTAGGTAATCCTCCTGCCTTAGCCTCCCTACAGCTTCCATCAGCTGGTATTATAGGTGTATATCACTATACCTGACCCATATTTACTTTCAAAAATAAATTAGATCTGAGAAAAATGTGAAATAAATGTCTTGAAACCTCTTTAATCCCCCCCAAAAGAATCAAGAAAAAGAAATCAAGAATCAAGAAAACTATTTCTCTTCAAGCTGCAGCACATTAGCCTCATTCTCATTTTACTGTTTTTAGGTGATTAATTTTTGTAACAGAAAATTAGATAGGCATGCCTAGCTAATGATACCAAAGCTCTCTAGGATTTAGGTTATCCAGATGATATGTTCATGTTTTCATGATTATGTCTTTTGTCCTAGGCTGAGACAGATAACCTTGACCATTATACTAATGCCTATGCTGTGTTCTACAAGGATGTCAGGGCTTACCAACAGCTATTGGAAGAACATGATGTCATTAACTGGAACCAAGTTTTTCAAATACAAGGTGAGGTCATATGCAAGACATATGTTATGCAATCATTTCCTTTCCCACTTTTATCATATATATCAGAGATATATAGATAGGTATTTGTGTGTGTGTGTGTGTGTGTGTATGACACAGATGTGTGTGTGTGTGTGTCATATATATATATGACACAGACATACGCACATAGGAACAAACCTATAGACATACATTTTATATCTTTACCATTTCTATATTAGATTATTTTAAGAACACCTTTGATTGGTGCTGCCTATTTTTTTTCTCATAGAAAACCCTTCAAATTATTTAGATGTAACTTGAGTTTAAAATATTGAATGCTACCATAGCATTTGTAATTTTAATGGCATCAACTTGAAGCCTTCTTATCTTCTCTAAGGCTAAACTCTCTAGTGTGGAACCAAGGCTTAGATACCACACTGTGTTGGATATGGCTTCCCATTTATGTTTTTTTCAAGAACTTTCAAGGCCACACTGAGAAGTGGCTCACAAGAGGGGAGGGAACAAGCCATTAGGAAATGAAGGATGAAGGAAAGTCAATTTCCAGAGAATATAATTAATCAGGATTCTGAGTGGAAAGAATGGAGTACTGGGGAGTTGGAGAGGTGGAGAGAGGACTCATTATAAGCTATATAAGAACAAAGAAGGACCAGACAATTTTCTCTACCACTGTGAAGCAGTGCCTGAGCACAGTGCTTTAAATCTGAAAAGTACAGAATAAAGGTTTATAAATACTACAGTATAGCTATAATAAATAAGTGGGATCTGAGAAAGTTCAGGATAAATCTCATCAACACTCAGTTTCCACCTTAAATACCATAACGGAGAATTTGGCAACAGGCTGGAAGAGAAACTTTAAAGTTAACTTGTCAAACAAATCTAAATTCTTACAATTCTAGTTTAATAGTCAATTGTAGATTTTTAGAGCTATAAGACATTGTACCTTATTTCAAGGAGTTTAGATCTGTCCAAGTAATAAAAAACAAATAAAAATTTGTACAACAAAATTCCAAATTCTCATGGGATGTTTCCAACAGAACTTTCCATGAAAGGTTATGGTGGGTGGCAATGTGATGAGAATTCAAAAAGTCTCCAAAAAATAATAAAAAATGAGATAGAGAATAGCCATAATAAGTGTGTGTGTGTGTATGTGTGTATGTGTGTGTGTGTATGTGTGTGTGTGTGTGGTAAGTTTAGGATAATACAAGGTAGCAAACGGGTGGTATTGATGATGTTCAGTATACAAACACTAAAGCAATTTGCTTTTTTTGTTTGTCTTTCCACAGGGCTACAGAGTGAGTTATATGATGCTTCCAAAGCTGTTGCCAATTCAAAGCAATTGGATATAAAGCTGACTTCCTTCAAGGCTGTTCATTTTTCTCCTGTTTCATCTCTGCCAGATACCAGTTTCCTGTATGTAAACTAAGTTCTGCATTTGGGATAGGACTTAAGTGCTGTGAAAGACCAGATAGTAAAAACTGGAGCTCTTGGTATCATTTAGGAATATTTAAACATTTGGTTTTGGACCATTATACTAAAAGTGTGTGTGTGTGTGTGTGTGTGTGTGTGTGTGTGTGTTTATACACACATATGAACAAACCTATATCCATACATTTTATATCTTTACCATTTCTGTATTAGATTATTGTATGAACACCTTTGATTGGTGTATGTGTGTGTGTGTGTGTGTGTGTGTGTTACTCTTTCCCTCTCCATCATGCTTCAGTGCTCATAATTTCTTTGAAAATAAGTAAGGGTCTCTATCCATAGTTGTAAATGAACTCAAAAGACTTGCACCCCCTCCCTCTGCCTTTTTTCAGTACCAGGGATTGAACCCAGGGACACTTTAACACTGAGCCACATCCCCAGTCTTTTTTCATCTTTTATTTAGACACAGTCTCACTAAGTTGCTTAGGGCCTTCCTAAGTTGCAAGACTGGCTTTAAATTTGTAGTCCTCCTGCATCAGCCTCCTAAACCACTAGGATTACAGGTATGTGCCACTGTGCCCGCAGAATACCTGCATTTTCATAGTGCACATAGAAAACTCAATCCTTGGTGTTCTCCTCCCCAACATAATTCTAAATAATCTCTCTTGTCTGAATCCAAAATGGATGTGATTGTTTTTGTTGTTTTAGGAAAGGGGTATAATATAATGAACTTTATTGAGATTTTAAATATATAGCATTAAAGTTTTAAAATATATCTCCCCTTAATCCTTTCCACAGGCCTATAAAGTAGTAATAGTAGGAGGAGGAGTATTCCATTTTTAATAGATTTGAAGTAATATATAGAAGTAAATTTTAGAACCAGGAAATAATCCAAAGAAATCCAGCTCCATAAAGCAATATTTGAATCCATTTGTTAGTTTGTATCTGCATTTGTTCTTATTTTCTCCTACTTTGAGGTTCTTGCTTTGTCATTTACTAAATGCCATTCCTTCATTTTAACCTTACTGGGCCTTAATTTCTTTTCCTCAAGAATTAGGACATAATATCATCTTCACATTGTTTTTGTAAACGAATGAAACAAGGTGCTTGAAAAATACCCATATTGATGATTGTTAATTTCCTTTTCTTCTATGATACATATGGAAGGAATTATTGAGTGTAACAAGACTAAACCTGGGGAAGAACAGACACTTGAAGTCACAGGAAAGCAAATGGACTTTCTTTTTACTGTTTTTTAAACTATTAAAATTTCAAATACACAACAAATTTGAGACAATAGTGTAAAGAACTGCCCGCCAATATATAGATAGTCTTATTTAATACACATCCCTACATATCTTTGCACCATCTGGATTATTTTAAGGGAATGAAAGAAATATTATCTTTATATCCTTAAATAATTTATATCCCTTAATAATTTAATATGTATCTCTAAATCATAAGAATTTATTTAAAAAAATGGTACTCTCCCCTACATTCCCTAACCTCTAGTAACCACTGTTGTTCTTTTTCAAGATCAATTTCTTTAGATTCTTTAGGTAGGTGAAATCATGCAGTACCTAGCATATTTGTCTTTCTGAATCTAGCATATTTTACTTAATATTATTTCTTCAAGTTCCATCTATGTTGTTGCAAATGATATGACTTAATCCATTTTTGTGGCTGACTAGTATTTTGTTGTATATAGATGCCACATTTTCTTTATCCATTTATCAGGACACTTAGATTGGTTCCATTTCTTAGCGTAGATTTCTCTTTTACATACTTACTTTATTTCCTTTGAATATATACCCAGGAGCAGGATTACTGGATCAGATGACAGTTCTATTTTTCTTTTTGAGGAACTTCCACACTGTTTTCCATAATGGCTGACTAATTTACATTCCCCCAACACTAAGGGTTGCCTTTTTCTACCTGCTCACCAGCACTTGTTATCTTTTGAGTTTTTCATATTGGTAAGTGTTTTTTCCACATACCTGTTTGCCATTTGCATGTCTTATTTTGAGAAAGTCTATTTAGGTTTATTTTCTATGTTTAAATTGAGCTATTTTGATATTTTTCTCTTGATTTTTGACTTATATTCTAGATACAAACTAACAGATGTATAGTTTCATCCATTCTGAAGATTGTGTCTTTATTCTTTTCATTTATTCCCTTGCTATGCAGAAAATTTTTAATTTGGTATAATCCCATTTGTGTATTTGTTTCTTTTCTGTGCTTTTGAAGTCTTATTCAAAAATTCTTGCTCATTCAAATGTCATGAGCTTATCCCCTGTGTTTTTTTTCTAGTAATGTCTTTTTGTCTTTAATATATAAATCATTACCCAAACTTGTGGACTCCATTTTGAATGCTCTGCCCTGTAGACAGCAGGTCAGAATCTCTAACATAACTGTTCTTTGCCAGGGGCCTTGGCAATGTTTTTGTGTGCAGCAACATTTTTGTCTGAGAATTCTTTGTTCTTGCTTTGAAGTTCACTTTTAAAATTGATTTGAAATCCTATAAAATTGGTTTTCCTCACACTTAATGAATGGTCTAGTGCCATAGCCGACAGCATGTCTAAAATGTGAGCTAACACTATACAGCTGCTAAGAAAAATACCATGAAATTGTACTTACAAAAATCATAGCAAGAACTATAATATCAGTCTCTTAATGTTCACTGAGAATGGTCTTGATGATATTGATCAATTCAAAAATGAAGTCAAATTCCAAGACACAATCAGCCTCATAGGCTTTCAACTGTGTAATTTGTCTCAGTTCTTAAAAAATCTTACCACTCACTTTATCTTATTGGCAGAGGTTTTATGTAGTATTCTAGTAAACCCCTAGAAACTTATATATCATTGGAATCAACGTAGTGCAGAGTAGCAGTCCATAAAAAAAGAGAAACGCTGGAAAAAATGAGAATATTTAACCTGGAGAAAAGCAGCTTAAGATGAGGCCTTAGAAGAGCTAACATTTCCAGAGTATGTACATATGCCCGGCATATTAAGAAACTTGGTTTTATTTTTTGGCCAATTCAATTAATTCAGTATGGGAAAATTGGTTATTTATTGTCACAGAATCCTGAGCTCATGCGTTTTTTTCATCTTGATTTCTTTTAGAACGGGGTCTTCCCCGAGACTCACCTATCTGAGTGTTGCGGATGCTGATCTCCTCAACCGCACTTGGTCAAGGGGTGGCAATGAGCAGTGTCTCCGGTACATTGCCAAACTCATCTCCTGCTTCCCCAGTGTGTGTGTCCGTGATGACAAGGGAAACCCGGTATCCTGGTCTATCACAGACCAGTTTGCCACCATGTGCCACGGCTACACCCTGCCAGATCATCGCAGGAAAGGTTATAGCCGGCTGGTGGCCCTCACACTGGCCAGGAAGCTGCAAAGCCGGGGATTCCCCTCTCAGGGAAATGTTCTGGATGACAACATGCCATCTATAAATCTTCTCAAGAGTGTCCATGCTGAGTTCTTGCCTTGTCGTTTTCACAGGCTTATTCTTACCCCCAAACCTTTCTCTGACCAAGCTCACCTTTAGCCCAGTAACACTCCAGAAATTTTCTTGCTTTCCCAAACACACTCTCTAAGCTGCCAGTAGAGGAGAACTAAACCTGGTGATAAGAGGCCGGAGAAGATGTGCAGGATCATCTGAGAAGTCTTGGCTAATCTTGCCTCAGGTTTCTGCTGTATATAACTGTAGTTGTCAGGAGTATAGCTGTGGCTAAGAGCAGAGGAAGTTTTTTCTTCTGTAGGATTCACTATAGGGAAGAAGTTTCTAAAGTCAGCAGGTCTTAGCATATAGGCAAAAATGATTTCATGAGAAAAAATAATGATTTAACACAGGAGCATGTGGCTAGTTGTTTGGGCTTCTGCTCTGTGTTTTCACAACCATACCAAGTTCCCTGCAATCATGAAACTTCCTAGACCTCATTGCTATGTCTCACTAACTAACCTCTATTCTACCACCTCTGCTCTGAGTTTTCTGTTAAGTGTCCTGCATTTTCCCCTTTAATTGTTGGCTTCCTGTTTATGCCTATGATATTAGTGAATAGTTCTCCTCTGGGAATGTTCAAAGGCAGTGGTTCTCACCTTTTAGTGTTTATCAGAATCACTTGGAGGGCAAGTTGAAACACAGATGGCTGGTCCCTCCTCCACAGTTCCTGATTTAGTAAATATAGTGTTGGGCCTGAGAATTTGCATTTCCAACAGGTTCCCACCTCTCAGTTGCCTTGGATGGATGAAAATATAGGGATTTTAATGCTATAAACAGATGACAATGTAGGAGTAGAACTTATCCATCCTCTGTCTGGCCCCCTTACTTATAATATGCTTTTTCATTAAAATACTAAGATTCCTTATTGGTACATATGTGTGTATACAACTGCCATATAAGTATAGATACACACACACACACACACACACACATATACAGGAATTTTGATAATACAATTTAACCCTCTTATTACATAGCAAAGATTTGAAGTCCAGGGAAAATAAATGATTTTGTCAAGATTGTACTCTATACAATCAGTGCTGAAGGCAAAGCCAGAACTCTGTAATTTTGATTTCAAGTCATTCTTTTCATTAAATTGTTTATCCTTTCTTAAAGGAAATATAAATGCTTAAATAATTAAATTAATAATTTATTCTCCTATGCCAACAATGTTTATTTTTTTCTTCGGGTTTCAGTTTTGTTCATATATGTGTATTTTTCAAGGAAAGTAAAGGAAGAGATAAACCTCATAAGCTGTGTCCTGCATTTACAATAAAAACAGGTGTAAACACAACAGTTGGGTTTGTCTAGACTGGCTGAAGTTGACTTGGCCATATAGGCCATATAAGCTTGTTTTCTTATTCTCACAGGAGTCACCAAATCCTGACCACAGAGGTAAGGGTAAGTCCAAATTTTTGGTGGTTATTCTGAGAAAGGAAAATAAACTGATTTACACTGAGTAAATTTTAATAAACAATAAGACTCCTTGAGAGTGCATACATGTTTAGTTCATCCTGAGTCAGTGGTTACCTAGAAACTTGTCCTTGGTGTCAGAGGGAGGAGCACCAAATAACAGGAGTCCATAAACCTCTTGGGAGAACATGGTCTAATTTTTGCCCCTGGGATGCTTATTATCTTAAGCATTGATTAAGTATGAGTTACTCCTGTCTAATATATGACAATACTATTATAGACTTATTTTTTTTAATGATAATTTGCCTACCACTTATTTAGCATTTAACTCTGTTAACTTTACCAAATACTAGATATACATAGCTTAATCCATATGACCGATGAGGCAGTCTCTTATTGTGAGAGTTTTGGCTTAACTATATTGTGATTCACCAAAAGTTATGCAGGCTTTAAATGGCTGAGTCATAACCATGACCTGAGTTTGTCAGACTCTAAACCATGCAACTACACTATACTATTAGTCATTATGTTAATTGGCCCCTTAAACAGCTTGAAACTCTTTGAAGGTGATTATCCTTTATCTCATTGTTTTCTGAATTTTCCACCTCCATCTTCATCCCCCAAAGGGAACACATATTTGAAAACACAAACAACAACAACAACAAAAACTTTTTTCTATCAAATTGCATGTATCATCTTCTTTTCTTTTTTTTCTCTTCCAGATAGCCACATTGGGTAGAATCTCTCAACTTTCAAGCCTATTTTAAACCCTTTTAAGGGATGTGTGAAGAAATATTTAGAGTAAGGAGAGAAGAACAATGGGGTGAAGGGAAAGGAGACTCAAGAAGTAGGAAGTGACCAGGTCAAAACCAGGCTTTAATTGCTGATTCAAGGAAATTATTCAATGTGATATATAAACCCATGAAGAGTTTTAACCAGAGTATAATTTGTTTGGGAATTAATTGGGAGGCTATCATCTAAGCAAATAGTAGCTTACATTTGAATGTTCTCACAATGAAAATAGTGAAAGTTCACAGTTACCCAAGCTATTCAGGAGAACAAGTTTCCAGGACTTTGTAATTTTAGTGGCTGTAGGGCATAGTGAGATGTAAATGTCAAGTTGACTCCTGGACTTCTATGTTGTGAAACCTATACCTGGTGATATTTTTCCACTGAGATCAGAAACACTGGAACAGTGCCAGGTCTGGGACATTTGGGAACAGGAAAATGTTTGCTCAGTTTGGGAATGTAGAGTTTTGAAACATGCAACAGATGAGATCAAGATGAATATTTCATGGGCCGGAGTTGTAGCTCAGTGGTAGAGCACTTGCCTCACAAGTGTGAGGCACTGGATTCAATTCTAGCACCACATGAAAACAAATAAAGGCATTGAGACCATATACAACTAAAAAAATTTTTAAAAAGATGAATATTTGAGTCTTAAGCTCAGAGAAGTTTTCTGGGACACAAATATATATTTAGGAGACATTGGGTGTAGATGGTAACAATGGCTAGAAGTCTGACTGAGATTGTCCAAAACTGGACCTTGAATAAATCAAATATTTAAGGAAAGTGAAGTAAAAGACTCTGTAATAAAAGAATGAGTCAGAAGATAGGAGGAATGCCAGGAAATGACTGCCATGAAAGAGACAGAAGAAAAATGTCAACACACAGAGATGGTCAATGGTGTGAAATTATTCTGAGAGTCCAATACATGAGGAATGAGAGATCTCCATTGCACTATCAAATATTTTAAATACATATACTAAAAAGAAGACAGAAAATATTACAAATTATATGATTCTCTTTATATAAAATCTCAGACCAGGTAAAACTAACCTTTGGCTTTAGAAGTCAAGAATTAGTTATTTGTGAGAAGGATAGTAAGTAGAAGAAGATATGAATGTGGCTTCTGGATTTTTGTTAATATTTTTATTATTTTCCTGGATGGGTTATACAGGTGTGTTCACCTTCTGAAAGCTCTTCAATATATTAAATGATGACGCAATTGTCTGTATGCATGTTATAGTGCAATGAGATATATTCATGAATATAAAACAAGCCTGGGGGCTGAGTTTGTGGCTCAGTAGTAGAGTGCTTGACTACCATGCATGAGGCACTAGATTTGATTCTCAGCACCACATAAAAATAAAGAAATAAAAATTATAATAGAAATAATAGATCACATTCCTTTGATCTAACAATACTACCTTTAAAAATTTGTCTTCCTGTTATGATAGAAAGTGTACAAAGATTTATACAAAAGGTTATCCATTACATCATCATAAAGGCGAAATTAAAATGTGTGAATTAGTTCACTGATTAAATATGTATAGTATAATTTCAATGAAATTTCATGGAATCCTAGAAAGCTGTGATTGCTAACATGGAAAAGATGTAAAAGTTAATATGAGATTCAAAACAAGTCAAAGCAGTTGCAGAAAAATATGCATAATCTATTTGAGATTTAACTGTGACAGTAAAGAGGGAATGAGAAGCAGATAATTCTGAAACCAGTTAATGGCTTTTACTGGGGAGAGATGACCCCTTGGTAAACAGCACCAAGTATTTTATGATGCAGCAATGGCCAGGAATGATAATAAAAGGAGTCAGTAAAGGTAACACACTCAGCTGTCCTGAGATATGTACTTGTCTTGTGTCTGTCCAGGATGGATGCCCACTAGCTTTTGTAAACTGCTAGGTATTTTAGCAATAATGAGTATTCACTCTCATTATTGTGATATATAAACTCATGAGTTTTAACCAATACTAATGAGGCAAAATAAAAGGAACAACTGAGAATTTAATCTTCTCAAAATTTGGGAGCAAGATAGTGTGATTTGGAGTGGAAATTAACGCATCCACTATAATAGAGTCTCATCAAATAATATATCATTTGATTGTCTTTGTGTTTTTAATCAAGTTTGTGATTTCAATTGTGAGAAAGAACATGAAATAGTTATATATTAAATTTCTATAAGTTGTCTCTAACACACCTAAAGTTTTGGTATTCTTTATCTCTAAAAAGGTGTGATGGAAGAGCACACTCAGAGTACAAGGATTAATTTTTCCTTCCTGCCTGTGATGGCTGCATTAAAATTCAATGTGGGGAAAATGAAAATAGCCTATAGTTATAAAATACAGACGAGCTTTTTTCTTCATTATCGTACCTAGAATTGACACCCCAGTTCACTTTTCCCAAGTATCTAACTGCCCAAGATTCTCAAACTTAGTTCCAATTATAAAACCCAAGTGCTGAGAGACCGTTGCTCTCTCTGATCTTGGCCTTGTGCTACAACCAAAGAATATGGTAAGAAAGAGAAACCAGCCACTGCTCACCTCTCCTCTTTTCCTTACCCACTTTGGCAGTGCTGGTATTGTAAATGTCCCAGCCCTTTTTCAATTGTGTGCACTTCTTGGGTGACATGTTTTTTCCTTGAGGGAACTTTTTCTTCACCTCCCCTTATTCCTTCTCTTGTAATTAGAAGAAAAATTATGAAAAGAACAGCAAATGTCTAGCAATTCCTCTTAGGAGTTTATATGAAACTTTTTCTTTCACTCACAGACCTATTTCCAAATGGCTTTAGGTTTTAAACACAGTTAAAACGCATCGCTTGCCACAGGACTATCAGACCTTTAGTCAATATCATGCTATTATCACAGCAAACACCAGATGTCAGATTTTAGTTTCAGATTATTTCCCAATAGAGGGAGCACTTGAGTTGTTTCATTTCCTTAGAATTTTAGCTGCATTTTCAACTATTTGCTTTCAGAAGATTCTTGTAAGTTTACTCGCCACATCAACATATATGGACATTTTAAAATCTTGATATATAATGTGGAACTCTTATCTCGAACAATTGTGCCAACTTATAGTACTTGACCTCATTGAGCCATGAATGAGTAGTTTTGTTTTATATCCTAAGCAATAAACTGAAACACTTTACTAACTTGATTGAACTAACCTGTGTTTATTAAAATTTTTGTACTTTTGACATTTTATAAATATTGTCATCATTTTTATTGTTCTTTTGCAAATATTAAAATTCTTCTTGTATGTTATTGGGTTCTTGATGTATTAACTTGCCCATTTAATTATAAGGTACTGTTTGCCTATTGAGAAATGTCTATTTTTTTGTAAATATTTCAGATTTTTCACATAAGAGTATTAGTT